ATTGAAGATAATATTTCAAAATGAAACATGTTTGTTATACGTGTGATAAAATGTGATAATTCCTTTTTTGTGAATGTGTAAAGTTTTCTCTGCACCTCCCTAATCACAGATGAAGTATAACTAATTCCCCCATATTAAGACAAAAGTTATTAAAAAAAATAAAGTAAGGGATGGAATGTCACTTTTGGACATTTTCAATACATATTGCAATAATAAAGTTATTGGGATTTCCTTTGCACAGTTAATTGTGTCTATAAATGTAATAACGTAAGAGATGTGCTGTTCTGATAATTTAATGAAACATCCACAACATGTCGAAGGCTTAACAACGGCACCTTGAGGCCGAGATCCCTTTAAGACACGTCTGGCCATGAAGCCCAACTCACAGAAACTGAATCGATTTGGAGCCTTGCAGTCTATCATCAAACCATTGAGATATTATTTTCACTGCCCATCACACACGTTTTTCCGTATCTAGCCGGCAGCGAGCCGCGGTTCATAAATATGCAAACACACGCTGCGGGCCTGGATGAGCTTCATGCTTATTCACCAGCCTCTCACCTCTTAAACAACCTTAGCGGGCCACACACTGACTGTCAAGTGACCACATGCTTGTGTTCCAGCTGCTCTCACAAGTTCTTATCCGGGGAGACAGAGATCACCAACATCCTCACATGAACCTCTGCGGCGTGCGGCTGGAAGAGAGACAGGGTCCCGGTTCAAACCCTCCCTGTGAGTAGAATTCACCGAGGGCATCGCTCGGCAGCGTGCCATCGTGAAAGATGCAAGAGAGAATTCCGGGTGCAAAGAATATTGTTATGAAATGGAGAAAAAAAATGTGAACCTTTGCTGGGGGAAAAAAAAAGAAACACTCCGGAGTCTAGCGAAAATGTTAAGAGAATGACATTTAGCAGCGGGCCATTCAGAGCACGGCGGGCATGAAGCTTCTGAAATGCCCATAATGACATTTACAATAACCTTTTCCTGTGACTTTTTAGAAAAAAGGGTTAAAACCACAGAGACGGAGGGATTGGGCTACGTTGGGGCCTTCCCATTAATCAAACTGTGATTGCGCCGGACCACAGCCTGAGGGCAATTTCTCTTCTCACTCATTAGGAAGTGAGGAGGAGGTGGACGAGGCCACACACACGTAGTAGAGCAGTCATGGTGGACCGATGGGTGCAATGCTTGTCCTTTAACCAGTCGCCGCAAGGTTAAACCCCCCCTGATCGCCTCGCGAAGCCGCTGTCGGTCCCAGCACCTCAAACACTGCAGCTTGGCCCCGGGCCCCCCACGCCTTGTGTTGCCCTCGAGCCGCCGCGCACTAAAGCAACGCTGCACATTAATTATTCTGCAGAAGCTGTTAAATGAAGCAGGTTCAAGAGGAAGACGGCTGCGTGAAAAATACTTGATTGTGACAGACACGTAATTAAAATGTGGGAATTAGACCTACCACAAATCTCATCTAAGGTGTCATCATAGAAAAAAACATTTCAACCACATAAATATTTATAAAACACCAAAGTATTGTAAAGTTGTGGAACCAAACGAATGAAGGCTCATTGGTAAGTCGCTGTCCCTTGACGGAGGTGGGGAGGCTCAGACAGGCCGAGCGGCGCAGCTCAGCACGCACACACCTTGAGGCCGCGCGCTCGCTAAACTCTGCGCTGCACCGTCAAATGTCGGAGCGCCGGCCCCTCGGAATAAAAAATGTGTCTGCAGAAACATTGCACTGTTTTATCATCGAGAAGTGCTGCTCTTTATGCCACATGCCATTTGAAAGATGTAACGTAGCACATAATATGCTAATAATATGGAATAAGGTTCTTGCTTTAAGAGCAGTTGATTCTAAACAGGCCCTCTAATATTAGTGTTAGTAGTATTACTAACCATAGTAATGGATAGCAAATACATCTACTGTACTAAAGTAAACGATTGAGGTCTCCCTTTACTTCCTTTTATGCTACCTAATTCTTCTCCTGCACTACATTTCAATGGGAAATATTATACTTTATTTACTCCACGCTATGTATTTTTAACAGCTATTTCAGAAATAGCAGATGAGCCAAATATGAAGGAAGACTAAAACTTTACAAAAGATGCAAAAAAAAATACACATTATAAATATATATTCAGCTGCAGTGCGACGCGAAGAGACCCTCCAAATGAACTTTCACACAGAAAACCTGTTGTCCTCCTCCGTAGTAAATTAGCATTGGAAGCAGGTTTTGAATGAACATGGCAGTTGCTCAACGGTGGCCAACTGCAGTCAAATAACCGTGTTTGAAGAGGGAGGGTTTACTTGAATGTCGGTTTGTCCTCCTGTTGTACCTAAAGCTGGGTGCGGCACACTAGGGTGAGTATTTAAAGCACTAAGAAGATTTCTGTGGTTAACAGTGAGATAACATAAACAAAGTTACTATCTTCAATATTTACAAACCCAACGAATACTCGCCTCGCCTGATTAGTTAAAAAACGGTTATTGTAAAGATATTAAAAACACATATTTGAGCCATGTTCTGGCACGTTACTTTATAATGATGAGCATGGCCACTGCAGTTTATTTTGACTCAACACAGCTCAACAACAAAGTGCCACTTTGTGTTTGTACCAACCTATTACAGGTCGAGCGAGTTCCTGCACAAAGACGACGCTTTGAAGGCGCCGACCCGCCTGCTCGCCTTGTAATTCAAATTACCAACGTGTCGCAGCGTGTAATCAGTTCTGAATGTCAGAGTGTGGCTATTGGTTCAAACACGGAAGTACTGCTTGTGATGTGCGCGCACATTTTGACAACAGGTGTTTAGGAGAAACCACTGTTAGCAATGATTTAACAGCGTGTAACCCATTTGCCACTGTCTCATTTACATCTCCAGCTGCGCAGTCATTGTTGTTGAATAAAGCCACCGCTCTGACAGGCGGCAGAACGGGAAGACGAGACCAGGCCAGTGTGAGAGGGGGATCCTCGTTGAGGCCTCGTGAGGACAGGCTATTCCGTCTTCTTGTCTCCTCCCCATAACATCTCCTCTAACAGCAGGTTAGCAGGGATCTTGTTTGTCCACATGCAGAGAAACACACTGCAGGCCCGCCTAAGTGTGCATTAAAAACATCTGTACTACTGCACAAAGGAACGATAGTTGATCCACAGTGAGTTGGTGTGTACAGTAAGGGGGGGGATTTGGTTGTCACATGTTTTTCTTGTATAAGTAGTTGATAAGGGTAACAATTAGCTTTAAGATGGGGAGGGTTTGCACAGACACACACACACACACACACACACACACACCCACACACACACATGCACATGCAAAAGTCCATGGATGTACAGTGCGATAGTAGCTGGAGTTGCCCTAGTAACAGCATTTACTTTCACACTGCTAATGGATACAAAGATGCTGACCTTCATGAATAAACATGCAGGCAGCATATTGTACATTTTATATAGATGCATGATATTACTTTGTTTTGGTACATTAGTCTCACAGATGCTATTAGTTGTCCATCAAAGCCTATGAGACACACACGCACACACACAGTGAAGATAATGTCCAGTGTCTATTGGTGACAGACCACCAACAGAGTCCAAGTTTGCTAGTAAGAACTACAAGTTAGATGATTTTTATGTTTTGAAATTCTTACTGATTTGACAATTTCGAATCTGAAACATCAGTGTTTCACACAAACATCGTTTCTGTATTTGCCCAATTTAAAATTAAAATTAGAATCCGAACATAATTTGAAGTCAGAGTATTTTTGTTGCGCTCTACAAGGATGGAAATGGAAAATGTTGATTGTTGGCGCAGAGGAAACAATGAGAAACAAAAGTGAGGAGACTGGATAGATATTAGCCATCAGAAAAATGAAAGGAGAAGGGAATAAAACAAGATAAGTGTGTCAATGTAATCACACTGAGGCTAATAATCCAGTTTGGGGGTCCATAGCTCGAGAACATCTTCTCGAGGCAAATTCACAGGATTCAAAGGCTTATTAGCTTGTGCACATATTCACATGCTAATAAGGCTGAGATTACAACATTTGTCACTGGAGAAGACCGTGGTCTGAACTGTGCAATAAAAACAACAACTACACACCAAGCCAGAGACCAACACACACACACACGCTGGTTTCCATGCTCTCCCTTTCTCCAACAAAAAACACAAACATCTAAACTCTTTGTCTGCCATTCCAGCTGTAGTCTGGTTATTCAGGTCCACATTGTGGCTGAAATCATGAGAATCCTTTAGGTGTGGATCCCGGGTTGAAACAACATTATACTGTGGAAACCTCTGGAGCTAACGAGTATACGTTCACCCTCGCTGCCGGGCTGCCAGGAAGAACAAAGACAGACGTTACAGCAGAAGCATTCCATAAATCCACTCTGTGGTCCTTTCAGACTCAATTAAGCAAGAATAAGGAGACACGAGAAGTCAGACCGAGGTGATTAATCCCGCCTTCACCGATTCTACAGCGGATCAGGAGGGAGGGAAGGCGCCAAGTCAAAACATCAATCCAGAGATGAAACCACTGCTGACTAATACAGCACAACACAATGTGTTTCTTCAATAGGAGCAATATTTGGTGGGCAGCTTGTCTTCAGTGCAGTTTAGAAATATGAGGTCAGAACTTGTCTGGCGATGCAATTGAAACAAAAAGCAAACATAATCTACAGATGAAATTAACCAAGAGAAGGAATGTATAGGAATATAAACGCTGTGGCCAAATGTGTGCTCTCAGTGACACTACAAAGCAGCCTAAATGTGGTAGCCCCCGGGTCATATATGGATTTTTCATAAAGCCTTTGTGGGCCAGATGCAGATGACCATTTTATTGCCTCCGAATATTGTGGAGATATATGAAGCCCATCTGGCTGGGGGCAGGTCAGGAGCCTTTAGAGCCTTTAAATCATTCATACATCCCTGTGTGTGCATGTGAGAGCAGAGATCATGCGTTTGTGTGTCAGAAATCATATGTGACCAAACAACACCTGCCAGACCGAATGCTTATTTTCATATTTCAACCTCCATTTATTTCAACCAAAAAAAGAGATCAGGGTTAAATCCACTAAACTGAAATACAAAAATAAGGGACTCAAATCGAAATCAATATATGAATACAATTTACACATACATCCAGTGCTGTGGAGCAGGATGGCAGCATTGTGAGAACGACAATACTCTTGTTATGGCAATAGGGAAGCTTGAACAAGCCAACTGCTTTGTTTAGGCAACTGCGTAGCCATCTGGGACCGTCAGAGGTCTATGATTGAGTGGATCCGTGTTACGCTCAGTCCCGGTCTTAAAGCTAACAGTAAAAAAATAGAAGGGAGACTTTCAGAGAGCCATCCCAGATCCTATCTTTCACCCCCCTCCTCCCTCCCCACCCACCCACCCACCTCCATCTCTCACCGTCTGGTCTGCCGCAGCACGCGCCCTGCGCCGAGAGGGGGCCAATTCCATCATCCCGACAAATTAAACAGAAAAACAAACCGAGCCGTGCGCGGTCTGTAAAGGTGACTTTTACTGTTCGGGGTAATTATATTAGCAGAAATCGCGTGTCCCACTCGGCACGGATTCTTATCTGAAGGGGCGTTGTCTGTTTACATGGCCGATGTCTCTCAGTTTTCAACACTCTGCAATTTGATGGAAATTCCACTGAGCGCCTTCGGTCCAGACGCGGCGCGGGGGGCGCATCCGTGGCGAGCAGACAGTCCAAAAACACCAACAGGTCCCTTGCATGTGTGTGCGCGTCTGTGTGCTTGCGTGCGTGTGTGCCAGTAACGTTTGCGTGTGCGCAAAACGGTGCGGGCGGGTGGAGGGGTGGGTGGGTCGGGGGGGGGATATCAAACGGAATCCCCGATCACTCCTTGCCCCCGTTAACCAAAGACAGCTCTTTGAGAATCCCACTGGCGTCCACGCGCCTCCTCTCTCGGATCATGTCCTCCAAGCTGCGAAAGACCAGAGTGTGCACCCCGCTGCCGGACAGGTGCACTTTGAGGAAATACTGCTGCTGCGCCGAGTGTGCCTCCCCCCCAGCTTTGAACTCCCGCTTCCCAAAGCGGCACCAAGCTGCGAAACTTTCCGCGTTGGTCCAGCATATCTCCTCGCTGCTCAGGCCCAAGTGCCCCACTGCGTTCTGCATCACCAGGTCAGGGTGAAGCGGTCGGTAACGGTACCGATTGTTGACTATCCTCCCGTGGCGGCCGTTGCTGATCTCAAGCAGGCTGTCCTTGCGGATCTCGCCCTTGTGCAGATGAATGACCCGGTCGTCCTGCTCGTAGATGGCCCAGTGGGGGGCCTGCGCTGTGGCCACCAGCTCCAGCAGGTCCCCCGGTTTGCACATAGTCAGCAAAGTTTTGGCCGAGTACACATTCAAGTCCTCGTTCTCCCGCAGCTTGGAGAAGATGCATTCCTGGCAGCAGAAGGCTGAGTACTCCACCTCGCTGACCGAGAATGGTCCCTCCTCGGCCGGGTTTAGTTCCTTGGTGAAGCCGCAGTCGGACGGAGTCCGGTCGTCCACCTCCTCCTCTTCGTCAGAGAAGAAGTAGGCGACGCCGACTCGAAGCTCGTCCTTCTCCAGCCCGGACGGATCCCCCGTGGGCAGCTCGCTGTAGTTCAGGTGGGTGATCCGATCCAGTTGATTTCCCATCAATGACCTGGCAAGGCAGAGGCATGGACTGCGGTGTCTTTGAAGGAGAGGGGGAGAAAGATGCAGAGGTGGATATGAGTTGCGTAAAATATTGATGTCATGGAGCAAAAGCACAACATGCCCGATCGCAAGGCTGCATTTAACCCCCTCTGATCAATAAGAGAGCAGGCTAAGAAAGCACTCAACACTTCTCAGCAGTTCCTTATTGAGGGGCAAGAGCTCTCTGGTGTTATTGAGCCCAAAGAGAACACTAACGCAATCAATGATCCACTGCCCCTTGCCCCCTTTACACCCATTAGTCAATCATTAATTCCAGTGGAATGTAAATGAGCCCTTGGTTCCCACGCATAAAAAAAGATGTAAGAAGGGGGAAAAGGGAGGAAAAAATTAGTATGCTGCGGGTGCTAAAGAGCGACAAAGGAGAAAGAACTGTGATTAAGGGAAAACCCTATGTCTTTACGCATGAGGAGAAACTGGGTAAAGAGAGAATACCTGTGCGCTCCCCGGACAAATGGCTAAATATCCTTATGGTCCATTAGTTCAGAGGGCAGTGCGGTCCCCTCGCTCTTCTTCTTCTTCTCCTTCTTCGCCTTCCCTCTTTCCTCACACACTTTTCTCTCTCTCTCTCTTCGCACCGCGCACCGGGCGCTCCGGCAGTCGTGCCTGCTTGTACTTCACTCCCCATCAGCGCCAGATAGGCCGCTTAAGTACCACGGAGAGCTCCGCCTCGGCCGGCGCGCTCCGCCCTCGGTGCGGTTCTACTGGAGCGAAGTCACGGGTCCATTACCTCCCCAGCCAATGGGAGGCCTGGAGGAGTTCGCCTGTCAGTCACCGGAGCCAATCGGCGGCCGGCGGCGATGGGCGGCTGTTACCGTGGCGTGCTTTTTGTTGTTAGAGACCTATGGAATTCTCTACATGATCAGCGGGCGAGTTTTCAAGGCAACAGTCAGCAGCGATAAACCACCTGCATATCTCAAGGCGGGCATGTGAGAGAAGCTTTTTTAAAATTTCATCTCTGATGTGCTTTAAACATTTCTACTATCTGGCAAATACTCAAAACGTGGACTCTTATCGCACGTATTACATGATAAATGCGTCCCCGCCTTGCAGAACACCACAGCGGGGTCTGCTCTCTAATTCCCGTGTGTAGCTTGTAATTTATTTCCACATGCTTCCCTGGCTTCACCGCTGCATCACACGTGTGTGTGTGTGTGTGTGTGTGTGTGTGTGTGTGTGTGTGTGTGTGTGTGTGTGTGTGTGTGTGTGTGTGTGTGTGTGTGCGTGTGTTGTGTAGCCGATGAAGGGAGGGGCTGGAGGCAGGTGTGTGTTGGTGGGCAAGGAACATAACAAAGGAGTCTACAGGGAGTTTGGTACTCACTTATATAGTATCTTACTTTGCATTGATGTTGTATCTCGGAACAGATGATGCATATTGAATTTCATATTTTGAACTTCCGCATATTGTGCCTGAGAGATAATTGTATCATCCGCACTCTCAAGTGTCTTTTCATCACTGCCCAAAGCAGATAGCATCTCACGGTTTATGTCGTCCCCTCTATGAAGTGAACATTTTGTCTAAATCCTTTCTCCCCCCCCCTTTTTTTGCAGCATCGAGAGAGCTCCTCAGAGTATCTTTATCTTTTTTTACTCTTCCAGATGGTTGGAGATAGCAGCCCTCCAGGTGCTGACACAGAACGCTCCCTGTTCTTTGTTCCCACCGGTGACAGACAGAGCGGATGGCGACTTTTTCACTGGGTGAGATATGATCCTGTTCATTGAAACCGTCTGACACACGCTAGCGCACACACACACACACACACACACACACACACACACACACACACAAACAGTCATCTATGTAGCCATGGGTTTGAATCGTATTTACACCTCCTTGTAAGAGCAGCAGCATGAATTTGATTGAACGCCTTTTTTTTTGGCAGTCCTGCATATTGGGATTGTGATGTACTACTCACTTTTGTGTGTATGTGTGTGTGTGTATTTGTCCATGTACTTACTTAAAGTCAGACAGGAAAAAAGAAAATAAGTACCAGGACCATGGCTCTCTCACACTCACACACACACACACACACACACACACACACACACACACACACACACACACACACAAAGTGTCATAAGACTGTCAGCAATGGCTTTTGCTGCAGCACCTCCGGGCATGTGACCTGCCACCTATAATCTACAATGAGCAGAAATGAGTTTCCTTTGTAGACACCACCTTTCCTGGAGACACACATGTAGTATTTTCTCTCTCTCTTTCACACACGCAAACCTAATCATATATGCAGCTGGTGCAATAATAAGGCAGTACTGAGACAGGGTGATATTTCACAACCCCAATAATTGGATACGTCTCTATTCCCTAATTACTAACTAAATCATATAGGCTGAAACAGACTGACACGTGCACATTCAGACGTCCGCAAATACTCAAGTTTATTCAAAAAATCAACGTGCTCATCTGTGTTTCTTACTGCCTCACAAACAAACACACAAAAACAGTAAGCCAGCCACTATATTTGAAAAATATATTTTCTCTCTGTCTCTTGTGCAAGCTGACATTTTATACAACACCATGATCTGTGTTGCACCGCAACCCTGCACGCAACCACACTCCTGCTGACAATGAACATCCATAGAGAGTTAGACTGAAAAACATCATGTCGGGTTTTCCTTCTGAGAAGAAACAGCACTTTATGAGGTCGTAAACCTTTGAGGAACAAGTAGGGTGTGTTTTTGTGTAAAGCACAAATGGACAACATGTCATGGCAACATTTCAAACATTTGTGTATTTCAGCATTCTACTCTCCGAATCACTGAATCATTAAAAGAGTGTATGAAAACCAAGGTAGCACAAATATAATGTACCATGGGTTCCTTCTTTTTTTGTGATACCAGAGTAAATCCTCTGTTGTAAGGGTTACAATAGTCCAGTTTGAGAGCACAAGTTGTTGTTTTTGTAGGGGTTGGCCACTGGGTGCGTCAATCAAATCTCCAGCAATGTATTCCTTCTGTTTAAGAGCACTAAACTCTGCGTACTCGCTCTGACAATTTTATGGGGAAGTGAAACGTGGTGAAGATCCCCCACGGAATCTTGGGCCAGGAAGAAACAAAATATTTCTTCAGAATTAATATATGGCTCAGGATTTTTCTTAAAAAACTGATCACTCATCGCTTATGAAGACCTTGCCATCTGTTTGTATTTGATTATTTTCTCCTTATTTGCATGTGTGTAATCTGGCGTTGAACAGGTAGCAGAAAAGTAATGCCTTTCCAAAGGTTGCAGTGGCATCAGCAATGACTCTGCAATTACCACCTCGGTCTTGGAGTCACGGTAAAGAATAACACTTATATAAATACTGGGTGAGAATTCTTCACACCAGGGCCACATGTGTAGTTGGAACACTTATAATTTACTTTTGCCAATGGATATTGTATCAGAATGAAAGCCCAGCATGGTAGCGACTGAACCCCAGATTTTGTTTGGCAATGATTTAAGATGGTTTAATGTTATGTAAATGAAAGAGGGGATGATAATCTTTAAATTAAAACATTTGCAAAGCTCAATATCTAATTCTTATCAAAAGCTCTTTAAATCTTTAAAAAAAGTGTTAAAGTAATTACACCCTCCAGCGTGAGTTTTGTTTGGGACTGTGATTGTAGGTACTTTGGTACAGCAGATGGTAGCTATCTACATCATTGTCATATCTATAATCACAGTGAAGACTTTGCTTTGGGGTGTTATTTCTTGAATTGAGCATGGTCTTCAATGTGGTGGGGAAGAAAAGCAATTAAGCTCAGGAGGTTTGCTTGGTTAAACCACATAATAAGTAATTATAATATGAAATCTGTACGAGCACAGTGCTGTTGGTTTTGCTGACACAAAATGGATTCCTCCATACACAGATTCCCACCTGGTTAAGTGTCTATTGCAAGACCTCCTCAGCAGGATCGATGCTCTATTACCATCAGGAGTTTATCCTGGTCTCATCTCTGAGCAGCAATGGACTGTTTGCTTAACATTTTTTCGTGCAAAGGGTTGAACTCAGAGCTTTACTTCTTATTTAAAGTTGCAAGGCGTAAGGCATTAACACTTGCTCTAAATCAGTAGGGGGTAGCATTTCATCTCTACAACCAGGTCTGGTTGTAACTCTTCCAGGTCTCTGAAGCGAGCTAAAAAGATCGCGGCCGACCCCTCCCACCCCGGACATAAACTGTTTGTGCCCCTTCCATCTGGCAGGAGGCTGAGGTCCATCAGGACTACGACCTCCCGCCACACGAACAGTTTCTTCCCGTCGGCAGTCGGGCTCATCAACAGAGCCCGGTCCCCCACTGCCTGACTATAACACTCCACCGGTCACTCCCCCTCACACTGCACATGCCACTTTAACTGTAATTTATCACTTTGTCACTTGTCACTTTGTCTCTTGTCTGTTACTTGTTTGTTAGTGCACTTTATGCTTAATACTTTTCTTTTTAACTTTTTAATATTTATAATTTGTTTAACTTTATTCCCTTGTTTTTTTACTAACCCATAGCCTTAGCCTTATTCTTACTAACCCATTGCATTAGCATTTCATTCCACTTTATTTTATTACCTGTGCACTGTTGTCTTGTCTGTCTACTGTCGCGCACTAACCGCCAAGACAAATTCCTTGTATGTTTGACATATTTTGGCCAATAAATGTTTCCTGATTCCTGATCCTGATTCCTGATTCCTGAACTACTAACCAATGGGAGGGCAAGAAACGTAAAAATGTCAACCAAACTTGAAACTTTGGGAGCCGGTGCCGTCTTATTTTCTTCACGTGCGACTTGTGCCTTAAGTTAATGTTAGCTATCTGTATGTTTGTGCTAATAACTGTCTATTTACGCCACATTTGTTTCCTTGATTAAAGTAAAACTGTCAGAAACGAGACAATGGCCCCCCTCGTCTCTTCTTCCCCGCGGCAGCACGGCCGGATGCCGCCACTCTCTCGTTTAACAAACCTCTTTTGGATTTTCATAAGATATTGAATTGTGGCCGAAAGTGCTATGCTGCATAAATAATCGGATAATTTGCGAAAATCCTAGTGAAAATCAATAAGGCTTTCCCACCGTATTGATGATGTCTTAAAAGATGTTTGTCATCATGTCTTCGGTCTATACAAACAAGAGGAGACGTCTTGAGATGGTGGATGTTGCTACCATTGTTAAATGCAAAAATTGGTTGCTGTTGGCCTAAAGAAAGCAAACATGCTTGTCTTTCATGGAGATGTTCTGTAATGTCTAAACATTTGAGTGTTTTGCTGGCTTAAAGGCCCTGGTTCACATCCAGGCAGTCACATATGGCATCAAGCTGTCCCTAGACGTCGCACAATTCAACAAGGGAAGCAATTGCCATAGTTTGCTCACAAAACACTCCTTTTGCCAATATGAAGGATTGAATTGGCAAAAGTCTTTCTGTGTTCCACCAGTTCCAAAAGTGTCCCTCCATGTGTCTGCTAATACAGACGCCCCCCTCTTTGTGATGCAAAACAACTTAATTTGTTGTACTGTTTACAACAATGTTCCTCTAAAAAAGGGGGAGGAGGCTTTTGATCATTGTAACTCAATGTCAATACGCTTGAATTCATGTAACGTCATTTTTTTTTCGGATTACATTTGGTTTTATCTCTGAAGTGATATTATTCACATCTGAGCAAGTCTACGCTCTCTTCAATAAATAAAGTTTTTGCAATATTTTAGATCTTTTCATTAACTCTGACAGACAAGATTTCACAAACGTAATATAAAAAAACTGTCACCCAAATCCTTTTTTGTCTGATAGTATCCGTTTTGTGTGTTTGTGTGTATATGTACAGACAGGTTTTGTGTGTTTGTATGAGTGTGTGTGTCTCCCATGTGTTTTGTTCCAACTCCATCTGTCTCCCACTGAAAAGCTGGTCTTCCGCTGGGTCTTATCAGCTTTCCTCAGACTGTGGACTGTTACTCATTCAGGGGCCCCTCATCTGACACATGTGAAGCCCATTGATGTGGCCTTGAATTTTAACTTCTGCAAATTCAACTCGTCTCCATCTCCAACTTATTTCTGCTACAGTTGCTCTGTTCTCAAAAGACCTGTACCTTCCACAGACCTGTACCTTTAACATACCGGTACTTTTTACAGACCTGTACCTTCCACAGACCTGTACCTTTAACATACCGGTACTTTTTACAGACCTTTACCTTTCACAGACCTGTGCCCTTCACAGACCTGCACCTTTCACGGACTTGTACTTTTTACAGACCTGTACCCTTCACAAACCTCTACCTTTCACAGACCTCTACCTTTCACGGACCTGTACCTTTCACAGACTGTGTAGTTTTCACAGATCTATCACAGACAGAAAGATGAAATAGAAGAAATAGCCATACATGCCTGCTTTTTTTCATCCCCTCCCCCCCTTTATCGCTGTGTGGTTGGTGGAGTCCATTGGTATGCAGAGTTATGTTGGCTGGCGTTTGCAGGGGAAGGATAAAACGGTAATCAGTGGCAATGAAGCAGCTCTCGTCCCAGAGAGCAAATGTGCCAACATCAGCAACAGCACCAGACCATGTGTGTATGTGTGTGTGTGTGTGTGTTCTTGTGATTATTTATGTGTAACAGAAAGCGAGGGGTATCAAAGAGGTCAGACAGAGGTTATTGTCTTGACAGTTTTTTTCCCTCGTTTGCACAGTGACAGGATCACAGCCATCATAACACAGCAAATGGCTTTGCTCTTTCTTGAGAGTGCCTCCTCAGTATTGAGCATACTAAATTGATTGGGAGGAAGAATTGTTGTCTCTACAGACATATGTAATGCTCACTAGATTTATTATTGTTAGAATAGAATATTGAATAGAACGTTGTTGGAAATATAACCAGATGCATGTCGTTATCATGGAGGCAAGGCATTTAAAAAACTTCACTTTTAGGTGTGTTGCGTAACAAAAGTAAATCACGCAACACAACCTAATAAGAAATTCAATCGATAAAATCCATTTGTCTGGAAGAGAAATCTTGAAGGCAATAAACAATCAGATACTCAGCAGAATACTGTGGGGAACTGAAATGGCCGCTTCCAGCCAGCAGCTGGCTAAATAAAGGATAAAGAATCTACCACTCTGAAATCAGCGACCTTAACCCTGACTATTCTCCTTAGCGTCTAATTTACACATTCCACATCCTGACTTCTAAGCGCATAAGCACATTAACATGTGTTCCCTCCTAATTCACGTTATCTCTGTCTATAAACGTAGTTGATTTAAACGGTTTACTGAATATCTGGCTGAGCTGAAAGTGTTGACTGAGGGGACTGAGCCAGATGGCGGAATGATAGACAGGTTCCTGGTGTGATTTCCAAATCAAACATATTGTTTTTCTAATTATGTTCATGTTCCTCCTTTTTCTTTCTACCTTGTTAATTGTAGCTGGGGGTTTGTGTGAAGATCTGTTGGCTGGAGTGAAAAAGGTCAAGTTGAAACACATGAAACATTATTTGACTTTGTTAAAAACTGTGTTTTATTGAAGTGTCTTCATCAAAACATACAAATAATCTGTGTTCTCACATCCACTTGCCCTGACTGGCCCTGTTACGACAGACACAGTGATGGAGGAGAGGTTGATTTTCTAACAGGTGCCTCATTGCAATTTCGATTGTCAAGCATTTGTGTGCCTTGAACTTCCTGCCTGCTTGAAACATGCTTGCGGTGCACATCACGTGACCAGTGTTGGTATCAAGCTTTTGATCAATAAATGTGCCCTTAAGGGCATTTAACACCATCTCACGAAGGACGTGCCGGTCCTCGCGTAGAGGCGTCGTGAATGCCTGGTGGTTGTTCCAGTCTCACGATCAGCTGTCTGTGCCACTGCTTCTTTTTTAATGAAGTGTTCCCTGCAACGCAACATTCCTCCTCGGACCACCGCACCAGGGTAAGCAGAAACCTTATCGGCCGCCAGGTTCATTTAATTTAAGGTGGCGTGTATTTACTCGTGCCGATTCTGCACCTCTTGCACAAGGACATCGAATCCCCTCGGGAGAAGCTTTTGTGGCAGCTGTGCTGAAGACTGTTCTCATAAGGTAAAGCAGAGTGCACAACGGCGGTGATGATAAGATTGGTCATGACCGAGGCCAGCCCGCTCTCAAGCTGGCCGATAGCATGTTTTCAAAAATGTCAGCCCCTTATAAGCGGTGCTGCATTCGTATACCTCTGTATACCTCAGTGGTTTAAGACCTTAGCTGTGCGTTCTATTAATCACTACTCCAATATTCCACCGTCTGAGTCCTTACGCGCTTTCAACAGGTTTGCTGAGGTCTGGCATTGAAAAGGTTTGTGTTGAATCTCTTTCATATTGTGTGTGTGTGTGTGTAGATTCAGCATGTGACTGCCTGCTGTGTGGCCCGGTCCCTTGTCTGACACGTCAGCCTAATCTGCTTTCAAACAGCCTTGTAGGCCTCTGGCCCTGATTTGTGTGTTTGTGTGTGTGTGTGTGTGTGTGTGAGTATATGTGTGTGTGGTTTGGAGGGAGACATTAAGGCTTGATGTAGGGGGTTCAAATAAGGGTTAAGGTAGGACATTCCTGTTATGGATTGCAGGGCCACGAGAGTGTACACACACTGTATGTGCACATCCAGTTCTCACCATGCATGCTTGCAAACAAAGATGAATTTCAAGACAGAATTGTGGTTATGAATTGCTTACATTTTGCCGTTGCAATTTTTATGGTGTAATCGTTTCCAGTCCAGAGTGTCAAACATTAACGCAAGCCCTCTTGCACAGCTACAAATGCAGTAAATTTAGAATGCAGATAGTTTTTGGGCTCACGGCGCTTTCTGTGTTTGTCGTGCACAGCCGATCCACTCACGTTCATATATGGAATTTAACCCTTACTTACAGACAAAGAGAGAAAGGCCGGCGTTCTCTGACCTCTCGGCTACATGGCGCTCCTCTAAGCATGATTTCCTTGTGATTTGTTCAGGACATTCTAGACCAGGTTTGGACACAGTGACCATCAAGCATTGCAAAACTAATCATTTTTGGTGCAGTTTTTTGAAAATGCATAACAGCAGAAAAAGCGTGTTAGCTTCCTCCATTGGACTGAAATTTAGCTGTAACAAATGTGACAGTATAAAAAAAGAACCGAATGCCGCGGTTCCGTTGGCTCGAGTAGATTTTGCCGCTTTGTCTCCACTCGTACGGTCATGTCATTGCTGCAGCTTCCTCCACCACAACAACCATTTCCCTTTGTGCTAAACTTTTGGTATTCTCATCTTTTACTGGGATTGTGTTCGTTAAAAGGGGTTTATTATTTTCCTTGCTGCTCCTAAAATTCTTTGCGAGCTCCCTCAAAGAACCTCATCAGTTTCTTGTCACAAACGTGTTACTGACTGTTGTAGTACAGAGAAGCTTTGAAAAAACTTGGCCGACTCGTGTTCTCTCATCTTTCAATCCCACAGGAATTAGGGAGTGTGGAAAAGGGACGGAGCGCCGGTTTAATCATGCCGTCCAGCACCAGGAGGAACCCTTCCAAGTGAGGCGGCCCTTTTTAATGCTGCTTAAGAGGTTTGGATGGCCCATTGTTCTCTGTGGGAGGGTTTTGTTAGTTGTGGTTTGGCTCAGACATGAACTCAGAACACTTAAGCTCATCCTCAGATAATGACTGTTCGGTCCTTTTCTTCTCACTCTCACCCGGTGATTCACCAAACAAACAAACCGCACGGACCACAGGTCTCCTCGAAGAGACCTCTCCCTCCAGCCGACCTCCAGAGGCTCCGTCACATGATCCCTCTCATGAGCCTCATATAGCCGCGCTAAGTCCAATGTTTACTGAGAAATAATGCGGCCTTCAAACCAAATATCACTCCTTAACCACGCCGCTAAAATCACCGGGCAGCCAGTCTGTCAGCTGCTATTTTCCTTTGCTATTAAAAACAAAGGGGCTTCCGAGGGTGCATCCTAAAATAACTATCTGCAGACAGAAAGACCACATCACCTTTTAGAGTCAAATGTGAACCGTAGATTGAACAACCTTCAGTTGTCAGAAATGATCCCTGAAGGATTGTGTCTTCACCTCAGGAGAAGAGATTGTGTGAACTTTAAGGGCAGAGAAGCAGCCGGGGGTAAACATGGCTGCTCGCTCAGGCGTTGACTCCTGAGTGGATCCTCTTTACCGGACAGAGGTAGAGCAGAGGGGTCCTGATTCCCACCCCCCGACTTGGTTATAGCGCCGACGGCTAAAGGCAAACACACGCGATATGAGCACACACACATATTGCACATTGCTCAGGTTCCCCCTCTGGTTTCCCAAATTGTCATCCAGCTTTAAAAGGTATCTGTCTGCATATTTGTGTCCTGTGGGATTTCCTTTCCTTCATATCATGCCCTTGGTCCCCTTCTCCCCTTCCTTCTCCCTTGTTCTCTTTTGCTCCTCTCAGGTGGAATGGCCTCTCCTATTTCACACATCTCCTTCCATTTTCCTCTCTTTTATTTCTCTTTCCGCCTGCTTCTTGGTTATGTGCCTTCTCTCCCCCTTTTGACATTTCTAGCTGGTAATCTAAAAGGCCTGCCATTTTCTGCAGTGGTGAAAGCTTCGCCTGGCTCTTTTGTATCTTTCTTCCTTCACCATCTCCCACGTCGGCCATGCTCTCGCTCAATAAAGATTTTTTCTTATAATTACCTGCACTGTCGTTCAGTATCTTTCAAATTCTCCACTTTTATTTTTCCTTCTTTCTGCACCCTCCCAACCTCTCTTCCCCTCCCTGTGTGAAGGAGCCTTTGTTAAATGTGTAAAAGGAGCACGGGGAGAGCTAGGCAGAATAGGAATTCAATCAGTGAATGCTACCAAATAAGCACAAGAGGTGAATGCAGGCTTAACCAGACAAAAGAGCCATGAGTGTTCTGAAAGACTTTATTTTTAAAAATATCTCCATGGTTTTCGGTGATGGTGTTATGCATATTCATTGTGAAAACATCAGCCATCCTGGTACACAAACAGTATTTGGGAACTTCATATTTTTGTGGCTTTAAACAAGAAGTCCAACTGTTTTCTGATTAGCATTTGTGGACAATAGTAAAAGTATTGCAACACGTCTGGATAATAGAAAATTAACTAACATTGATGGGTGAAAGCACACTTGAACTATTCTATAAATCCAGGACAAATACCACGGTTTGAGCTGCATTTATGGGACATATTCAGTTCTGAACGACACATCTGTCTTTTCAAAAAACACGTTTGGGGAGCTTCCTCGGTATTGGTTTTGGCTGGTGCTCCCCAGCTTTACAACATGACCCTCATTGAGCAAATTTATAAAAGGCACTTATGCCTGCAGCATTATGGCCGGAGCCAAGGATGGTGAATTAATCCACACAGGTTCTGTGATGGGAATTAGTCAGACAAACACACTTTTCCTGTAGATCCCTGTGTGGATTAAAGTTAAAGTGTGGTCAAAGTTAATGCAAGAATGTGTAGGTGGGCCCCATTAGGCAGTGGGCTCCACTTCACGCACCGGCTGTGATGTGCTATGAAAGCAAGTGATGAATGCTGTTCCCTCGTCTTCTCTTCACATTCCAGTGTGGCTGCATTGTAGACGCCTCTTTTTTCAAGCCAAGTCAAAGATTGATCGTCAACGGTGTTTTTCTGCATATACCTCATGCATATGTTCACAGGTTAGTGTGTGTATTGAGGGATTGTGTGAGCCCGGCTGCATCTGCCATGTTTATTACCTTTTGCTTTGTGGCTGCTTGCTTTGCCGCCGTGAGATCAGACGCGTCTGTTTGAATTTCTGTGCAGGGACGCTGTTTTTTTTTTCTTTTGTACCAGTGACTCTTTCTTGCTTTTGCAACATCCCCAAACTCACCCTTCCCCCTCACACACAAACACACACACACACACCTCAGCATCCCATTTTCTTCTCCCCCTGTGATATTTCCTTACAGTGTGGTGCCTGTCATACAGCTTGCTGTTGCGCTTGACAGTTCAGCAGCTTGTGGCTTCTGCTACTGTATGCATATGCAATTTCATTACCGATGCTCCCCACTGACAGAAAGTTCAGCTCTATGTGGATCTCTGCTTGTTTTAAATATCTCAGGTGACAGTCTTGTGTGGTGGTTGTGGTGCAGAATGTTGCAGTGTTTTCCGAGCAGATGCCTTTTTTGTGTGAATATACCAGTGTTCCTGTGTAGTTTTATTGTAATGAATACATTCATGGTTTGATTTTATTTGATTTTATATGTGTTTTGTGATTTATTAATGATAATGTATTTCCCTCTAGTGCCATCACCAGATTGACATTTGTAGTTTTGCCTAAAATGTCTGTGTTTGAATGGATTGCCATGAAATCCTTGTTCCCCATCAACAGGTCAATATTTTAATAAATTTAATAAGTATCTTTTATGACACTTTCGATCTAATCAGGTTTTCATTAGTCTCAACTGGACTTTGTCTTTGATGGTAATTAAAAAATGTTAGCATGCTAAACTAATATGGTGTAGATTGTAAACATTATACCACCTTTGCTAGACTGTTAAAATATTAGGTTATATTATACATGTTGTAAAGACTTTATAGAAACATCTAGTTTAGTCCTCAAAGTCTGGCCCCGCGCGTAACACCCGAATAATGTCTCAACACCAAAGCCAGTCATCGTTTAACTTGAAATTCTGTCAATATGTCACTTGGGATAAATACTTTAATGATGTTTGATCCCACGCAATAAGAGAGTGCACATTTCGCTTTTGAGAACGTATGTGCTCAGGAAAGCGTGGCTAATGCATTTCCTGTGCCCATTTGAGCCGAGCATGATAGAGCGGCAGCGATGAGGGACGTTCCTAATCTCTCCCCACACAGGCAGGTGGCCTCTTGTCAGACAGCCAAGGCGAGAGGCGAAATTAAACCTGTAAGTCATACCTGCTGCCGTTGTTCTACATTTGCATTTAAATATATTTGACCTCCCCAGCAGTAAGGCCCTGCTCTGTCAGATGGGGGTCAGTAATGACGCCATGTTACAAGTAGCTTCTTCTTCTTTTCATTTAATTCTAGGGTCGCCCGTGCGTGTGGATGAGGACCACAGCCAGACAAATGAATGACTCCCACACGTCCATTTTGGACTCTGGATCAGTTTCTCGTTTTTTTCCCAAGTCAAATACTGCAATATTTTTTTGAATCTATGAAATAACCTTTGTTGCCTAAAACAAAGAGACGCAGAAGCGGCCCTGACCGAGCCTCTGCATGTGACGAGTTGAGTGAGTAAAGGACCCTCGGAAGATTGGGTATTTTATTACCAAGTATCAGAGCGGGTTTACTTAGTTTTATGCAATAAAACACTTTTCTTTTGGTTTAGGCAACGAAGGCACTTTGTTATGTCCTTAAATTAGGTCAACGTTGACTTTGTTTCAGATAGTAAAGAAACAAATGTGTTTGTCTGACTCATGCATTCATCCTCCACCCGTCCCACTCACGTTACACAGACTCACCGCATCAGTTGCTTGGACGTCTAATAATGACGCAAAAGGTGTTAGATTTGCGTTGGTTTCAGACAGAACAACTAGTTGTCTGGTCTGAAGGAGACCTTGAGCAGTTGAGGGACTTCTCTGTTTTGTGATTCTACAGCTTGGATGCCGAGGGCTGAATAATTAAATTGAGATCACAAGGCTGTTTTTTTTTCTTGTTAAAACACGAGACTCAGGGTTATAAGGTAAATGCACACAAAGAAACCAAATCCACACCTTGGGTGTTTTATAATAGTTCATGTGGATCAGTGTGATCCTATGGACATTTTTGAATATTCTCTTGTCCTACACTTGATAATTGTATCTCCTTTAAAGCACATTGAAGCCATTAAAACATTGCCCACTCGTGCTTGTTGTTGATGAAAACAAATTACTCCCTCCCCCGCCGGAGTCAGAGAATGACCTTGGGACTGGTGGTGATGCTGTGGCTCAGACAGAAAACCAACCAAACGGACATGTGACTGTTACAGAAAAATAAAAAATGACAATCTGTAAGGTAGTCTGGTAGACTGCGCGTAGGCCTAAAGGTTTCCTGATCATTTGGGTTCCATTCTGTATTCCTCGCTTTCCATTTATACACCCCGTCACCCTTCAATAATTATTGGATGGATGACATTTAGTAGAAACATTCACTTTGAAAATTCACTTTCTTTTTGAAAAGGACGTTAACTAAAAGTGTCTCTATGTGTGTATATCTATAAATCTCTCTCTCTCTCTCTCTCTATAAATATATATATATATATATATAACAATTCATATGGTTAGAGGTAATGTATATATCTTTATATATATATATATATATATATATATATATATATATATATATTACCTCTAACCATATGAATTGTTTCTGCATCTCCCTCATGATCCGTGCTTTACACACCACAGACTTGATCTTTTTTGAAACTGCGCAACCATTTCGTTTGGGTTAGAGGATTTTCATTCAAAACCCAATTATAGTCACATTCACACGCGCTCGCACACGCACTCATACACAACAGAATGAAAACCTCTGGCCGATACAGTACGTTCAGATTCCGCCCTCAACTGTACCGAGCATCATCAGTTGCGAAGTTATTTTTCATTATGTCGTATAATTGACTCAAATCAATGGAGCTGTCGGTACATTGTCCCTCACCTGAGGGTTATCACTTTATTCTGTGGCTCTTTCTCTGGGTTTTTATCCCCTTTTTTGTGTGTGTGTGTGTGTGTGTGTGTGTGTGCGTGTGCACGCGCTCACAAACAGAAACACAACACAAAAGCCTGATCTTCCCATTTTCTCATGTAAATAGAATCTTGGTTTCTGTTTTTCTCGGCTTCCTGGAAGCTTCAGGATCACAGGCTGTTTTATGCCTCAGAAACATGCTCACATCCACACAGTTAGAGACACACACACGCGGGTTTACCCACGCGGTATCACGGCACGGGAGGTCTTTTAACTTGAGTTCTTTGGGTAAAGCTTTTATTGGCTTCCCACCGTCGGCCACAAACTGGACCTTTTGTCCCTCGCACAAGCACTCCCACACACGCACAGCATTTCAGAGGGCAGTGGACACTTCAGCCATTAGCAGTAATTATGACTCAGTGACGAAAAAAGGGCCCCGTCATGTACTTCCACACGGAGGCACACGGACAGCAGAGCACAGAGGGAGGCCGGCCGGATGAGAACGACGAGGCGGTCCCTCATGTCGGTCCGAGAGGCACGCAAGCTTTTTTTAGAAGAGGATCTTGCAACAGATGACGAGCATGCACTCGCATTTGTCATTTCTCCCTTTCTGACAAACATTTACGGTTCAAAGGCCCGAAAAAGATAACAACAAAAGTAAAGATCTCGGGGGGGGGGCATTACAGAAAGTGTGACAAAAGGGGAAATGGATATTATTTTAGCTGTTAATGCTACAAATGTCATCATCTAACTAAAGTAGGCTTGGATTTTCCCACTGGGTGAAAAACTGCCAGCGCAAAAAGAAAAAGAAAAGAGAGCCACAATAATCTGCACGTGTGATGCAATAAAACTGGGGGCTGCATAAGCTTCGGGAGACACATGACAACAACTTGTCTACTAAGAAATTCTAGATGACAAGAAAATGCATAACTGCGCTGGATAGCTGAATCTAATTGACAACCTCATGGAAAATAACAAGATGCATGGAATGACAGGGGAAATGAAGAATAATTAAAGTAGCCACGATGCAGAGAAATGCTGTGAATCCTTAGGGATGGTCAGTGGAACATTGGAGGTACATGTGCTATGAATAATGATTTCTATATGCAGTGACAAATTACAGAAACTCATATAAAGAAGTGAAAAAATCCAATAGCAGAAAAACAATTGGAGCTGCTTTTGTACTGCAGCAAATTTCGTATTTATTTTACACAATTCTGAAACCTAAATGTTTGAGTTAATGTGCTTCAATATTTTGTTGTGTAGTGTTGTGTTATTCTTCAGTGCAGCGGAGCCGTTTGTTTGAAAAAAAGAAGGGAACTGATTCTGCTGCAATGAGGCCGTCAGAAGATTCTTGTGTGGGATTTTAGTTTTTCTTCTGAGACCATATGCAGCGCTTTGTTTCACTGGGAGACGTGTTTATTTTCAATGCCGCAGACCTACATTTCTCTTATCACCTTGAAGGATTACAGAGGCAGAAACATTGACCCTCTGTGACAATGCTTATTTTTTTTATGTTGAATTGCAGAAGAATCCAGTGGTTGAAGATACGTCTCCTTATTGCTACACAAATCACACCACTGTGTATTTACTGGACGGACGATGAATCCAAAGATATGGCTGCAACTGAATTTTCCAATCTCATACAACTAATGACAACTCTAGCAACTGAGTGATTGCGCTTGTTGGCACCAGCAAAACAACCCGTCCTCTCGTAAGACTCTTCCTGTTATAAGAGAATTCAATAGGTTTTGTAATAATCTCACTGAAAAGAGAGAGTACATGAAAAACAATGCGGCACAGAGACATTTGAACTACAATTAAAAAGATAGAAAACTGTATTAGTTCAAATGAAGGTAAATGTAATTCTATAAATAAAGCGAGGGTCTTAAGTAGGGATGCCAATAGATGCGATGTGTATGCAGAACTCAAATCGCTTCAGGAAATAACTTCCGAACTAATTCGTCTCATGCAAATTAAGAAATTTGAATAATGTTACAAGCGCGGGGATAATTTTGTACCATTTAAATGCATGAGCAGATCTCTCCGCGCCTCATTTTCTCCATACAATAATCTACACTCAAGTGTCTTTATAGCAGTTCACCTCTCCCTTTCCCTTTATGCTTGTATTTACTGATCTACAATATCAGTGTACAACACCCTGCTTTATTGTATTTAATAACTTCGGTGGCTGAATGAATAAGTAAAAGGTTTTAATTGACTAATCATTTTATTGTGATTATTAACACTAGCAGAAAAGTGGCATTATATGGTGTGATTAGTACTGTTTTCATATAGAAAATACAAACCTTTCATACAATGTATTGAGACCCTGGAGCCTCAGAAGCAACATTTCGGGGGTTCCCTGGAAAATCCAAATTGAAGAACATTTATTCACAAATATGAATACGGAACATCACTGGCTGAAAGCATAACGTATTTTATTTTTGTAATAAAATACTCCCTCCACGATAAAAGGACATCAGCAGGAGCAGTTGGATCCAAACACCCGGGACTGAAGGAGGGAAAAAAAGGTTTAATTCAAGGCTCAAGGTTACCAGGAAGACTAATCCGACGAGGGGATGGAGTGCAGTAAAGGGACGGGTCCGGGACAGGTGAGGGTGATGAGGTGATACTGCTGGAGAACACGCAGGGAGCTGATTGGTAAATAATGGAAACAGGGAAGGCCTGGTGATTTAGAGCAACGGTGAGAAAAGGCAGCAAATAGACAGGAAACAGACAGGACTACCAGACGGACTGTCCACACTTTTATTTGTAAGTGATCAGATCAGATTTGTGTGTCTAAGCTTCTTTCATTCGATGTAGTCGCCTGTAACAAAGAGAAGCTACAGCGCTGTTGGTAAATCTTATTTAATGTGGATTCATAAAATGCAGATATATAGTAGCTTTACCTGACACTGGGTGACACATACTGGAAACATCATCAGCTTCATCTCAACGCGAAGATTCAAATTCCTCAAACTGTCATTTTTCTTTGATGCAGTGCAACGTATCAAGTTGAATCGCTTCAAATCTCTGAAGGATTGACGTGAAATATGAACGGTGCATTGAACAGGAGGTCCGTGCATCAAAGTAAAGAATGCAGATTGACAAAACAAGACAGGTGAATAGAAATCATCTGAGAGATTTGGTGAGAGAGAGGACGACACTGTGTAAAACCACATTACTGCAGCCCTTTGGATCACTGTTGATCGATTGTACGTCAACAGCATTCCTTTTTTATTGTGTTTTAGGATTTAATATCTGTGTATATACATCATCTTTATTTTAAAAAGTGTGTGCCGTTCAGTAATAATAATAACAACCGCTTTCCAGTAATTCTCATTCGATCTTCCGGCTTCAGGAAGCCTTTGTTTAATTCAGGCGCACACACACCGACATCCACAAATACATTTCTTTTATGAATCGCATCTACTTGATTTGTATTCGATAGATTTTCTCCTGGGAGGCCCGTCATCGAGTACAACGGACTCAGCAGTACGCCATGTGTACTGCTGATGAATTTAAAGAGAGTGGAATAAGGGGGAGCGGGCGTGATATGTAACAGAGGACAGCGGAAAGGGGGGGTGGGGGGGGGATGAGATCTAACCTGAGGATGTAAAAATAAGGTAGTGCTTATGTGTGTGTGCTCACACCTGCATGCCTTAGCATATATATTCAAAGCCTGCCGTACTCTAACTGCGATCACATGCCTGCCGGTATGTTTGCTCCACTTCCTGTATTGATCTATTTGGCTGGAAAAAGGATCCTTACAAGTGCACATTCTCTTGAGTGACTTATTTATGGTGTTGACACGCGCTTATGGAGGCTTGTAAGGAAGAGATGATACTACTCGATGAGGAAAATTCCGAGATGTGTAGAGATAGTGGTGGGGTAGAGAAGCGGAGAGGGAGAGCGGGGAGACAGCGAGGAAGAGGTTACAGAGGTGCCTTTCCATCCAGGATGATGGAAATTAAAGTGAGGATTAGAAAGATAGGGAGGCCGGATGAACAGGGAGGGGTGAGAAATGGTGTCAGGGATGCGCTCACCTCGCTTCTCTCTGTGTGTCAAATTATATTCTTTCTTTCTCTTCCCTTCCCTCCTCTGCAGCAAAAGGAACCCGCAGCCTGTTTGCTGGTCATGCCCTCAGCGCCTGATGCTCATCCTACTGAAGCATTACATTAACTTGTGTGTGTGTGTGTGTGTGTGTGTGTGTGTGTGAGAGAGAGAGAGCTGTGAGGGCGTTTAAGTCACACAGAGGATTTCTCCCTTCATGGCCACAGATCTGGGAACAGCTTTACCCTTAAACCAAATCCTTATTCTACCCATCCGAGCGTAAACGGAACTACGGACTTACAGTCACCGTGAACAAGGAGCTTCACCCTCAGCCTGTGGGAACCAGCTGACACACACACACACAGACACACACACACGTCTAGACACACACATGTGACTGTGTTCCCTTTTTTTCATCAGCAGGTTCCATCTTAGATGTTGTTTTTCTCATGGTTGGCTGAATGCTCACC